CCATTGTTCTGGTGGCTTTCCGTGGATAGAAGCCTTGAATAGCAAGGCCTTTTTGAAAGATAAGAGCAGAAGTACTGTAACATAAAGTTGCCTTCTAGCTAAGGAAGTTGTTTCAGTGTCCAGAAGAAAGCTCTTGAGTCTAATTTTACTTTAACATAAAAGATTCCTTAGATATTGTAATTTGGCCTCAGGAAATCCCAAACCTTTCCATTATTGTCCAAAACAAGTGTTCTTTCCATGGTACCATGCTGTCCATTTCTAAATGTAAATGTAAAGCAGCTGCATTGATTTCTGTTGGGTGGATTATACTTTGGGTTGGACATACTCAGCCCTATTTCTTACTTTAAAATCTAAGTGTAAAGCTGTGTAAAGATTCTGTGCAGTAGAAGGGGATATGTCTGAAGAAGCACATGAATCCAGGTCTTCCTGATTCCTGGTCAGTGCTCTATCCTTGAAAACAGGGACTTTTTTTTCTTTTCATCCCTAGCACTTAACACAGTGCTTGGCATATAGTTGGTGGTTAATAAATGCCTGTTAATTAGATAATAAGATTAATTAGTAGTTAATTAGTTAATTAGATTATGTAATTTTTTTTAAAAAAATGATTCATCCATGTAGGGAGATCTTGATGTGGAACTCCCTCCACCAGTGCAGGTTGGCACCTTCTTTCCAGTATGGTCTTTGAGTTTCCTGGGACATTGAGCAACTGAACCAGATTGAACCAGATTGAACCCAGAATCCCACCGCTATTATGTGTGAGAGGTCGTTCTACCTCTGATAACGATTATTTATAATAAATAAACTGTTTCACCTCTGTTTTCCTCATCTTAAAATGGTACATAATATATACTGATTCTCTAGATGTATTTTAAATTAATGAGGCAATTATCTATTTTAGGGACTGTCCACTAAACTCCTCCTCCACTGCCTCAGTGTGTGTGTAGAGGTCAAACACTGACCTTGGCTAAGCTCAGAGAGGCAACTAGATTGCCCAGTGGGTAGAGTGCTGCGGTTGGAGTCAGAAAGACCTGAGTTCAGATATGACCTCAGATAATTCCTAGCTGGGTGAAACTGGGCAAGTTACTTAACCTCTCTTTGCCTCAGTTTCCTCAGCTGCAAAATGGGAATAATAGTAATACCTACCTCCCATGTTATTGTGAGGATCAACTGAGATATTGGCAAAAAGAGCTTAGTGCTATGCCTGAGGCATACACTGGTTTCCATCCTTCCTCATCTCCAGAAGAGTGGTCACCCAGTAATGAGGTTTTTTTTCTTTTTTTTACCACAACAAATCATGAAATCACCCACTGATGAATGGAGGCACTATGGTGGTCAGTGGTGGACATATCCCTCATGATGAAATTGGAGATCTTTTGAGACTCTGAATTATGTTTTAGGAAAGCTCCTAGAGACATGTTTTTTTAGTTCTAAAAACAGTAATATTTCATTGCTTAATGTGATATTATCCTGAGCTTCTGGGTGTTCCCCATCATGTTTATAATATATCCAGCAATTTCTGTTGCATCTATGTGCATGCTGTAAAATGAGAAAATATACAAAGTGCTTTGTAAACCTTAAAACTCTGCATATTAGCTATTAATTATATTGCATGAAGCAGCAGAGCTACCACATAAAAGTGACATAAGCAGCTGCCAATGTAGCCTTATTTTGGGAGCACTGAAAGGTCGGCCTGCTGAAAATATGCCCGTTGGGAAGCAGCAAGATACAAGAAACAAACAGTGGTTCTGAGATAAGAGGACTGGGTTCAAATCCTGCAATTGCCAGTAATTATCTTTGTAATCTCGGACAAGTTGATTTTCCTTCCTCCTGGGTCTCTGTTTCCTCATCAGTAAAATGAGGGGGTTGGGTCTAGCCAGCCTCTGAGGCCCTTTCCACGTGTAGAGCTGGGCTCCTTTGAGCCCCCTCTAGCCATTCTTTGAATGAAAGCACAGCCTCTCCAACACTCCTGTTAAAGTTCTGATATATTAATTAGTACATTAACCATGATCACTCAGTATCATTTTAGAGGGTAATAAGGCCCCGAGAAAGGGATTCAGGGCAAATGAATTTAGGTGGAGCAGAGCGAAGATGGTCAGGGAAGATTAAGAGCATGTAGCCCTGCAGAGGATAGCTGGACAGCAGCTGGAAGGCCCTGCGTGCTGCCACCTAATCGCAGAAATGTTGAAAGGGAAAGGCATTGAAAGAGAAAGTGGGACATTCACCAAAGACATTTTTGCCTGCTTCAAAGTCTTGCCTAGGGCAGGACTTCCGAGACAGAAGTGAGAGAGGAAGCTGTTCTTATCTGTTCAGCTGGAGGCAAAGCAAAGGACTAGATGGTTTGTAGTTATATTGAAGCACCTGTCTTTCCCACAGTTAGCTCACTCACTACATCCCCCATCACACACTCAGCTACGGACAGGGCCATTTTTCTTACTTATGTAATCAGATGGTTGGAAGCGCTTTTCCTCATTTCTTAAATGGGCGTTGGAAATCAGAATTAATTATGATTGCGAAGTGCTGCATAAGGACCAACTATTTTCCCCATTCTGGCTTTTTCCTGAGGAGACAGCCTCCAGAATTTAGAAAAAACATATACACCATCTTTTTCAAAATAATTACATCTGATATCTTGCCACTGACCCACTTAAGGCAGAAGACAAATCCAACCCCTGCATTATTTAATTAAACATGGTCAGCATTTTCAGATGAATGGCATTGAGAAATAAAGATGCAATCTAAGCAGAAATGTGGTCCAACTAACCTTTGAGCTTTCTGCCCTCCCCTCCACTCTTAAATTTAACTTGGCTCTTTTGCTTTATTTCAAAAATAAAATTTCAAAAATTTTTGAAGGAAAATTTTGTAGGAATGAAAAATTATTTAATTTAATTTTATTTATTTATTTAATTATTTAATTTAATTTAATTATCTAAAATACCTCCCCCAAAAACTTAAGTGATATCCCCTAATTAGTCCAAATATCTTACCTTACCTACCTATTTTATTTTTTAGTCTGAATCTGTGATTTCATCACTATGGGGATTTCCCAGTGTGTAAATTTCCTCCATGACTGGATCTCCAAGTTAACTACAACTTGATTTTAGGGAATTGCTTGAGGGAACTCTGAAAGCTTAAGTTACTTGTTCAGGATCCACAACTAGTATGTGCCAGAGGCAGGACTAGACCCCAGGTCTTCCTGACTCCAAGGCTAATCCTCTATCTGCTCAGTCACTTTGTCACTCTTTTTGTGTATTCTATTTTTTTTTTACAACTAATTAAATAATTTGGGGGTTTACATTTTGTTTTGATGCAAACACTTCCCAGCACCTATACAAACTCACTAATAAAATGCATTCCCCAAAAGGTTAAACAAAACTGCCTAATAGTGTGATTGTAGCTGCTGGTACATTTCACTTTCCACCTTTGTCTCTTGCCAATTAACAGAAAGGAAGAGTTGTTAACAAAGAGGCAGTGTGGTATAATTGGTATAGAGTCAGGAAACCTGAATTCAGGCTCTGCCTCTGTCACATACTGGATGTAACCTTATCAGAGGAGGAGAGGTCCATCTGCCTTAATGGTGGGAACTTTCTCATTGTGAGTGAAATATATCAGTGAAAACAGTGAAAAAATAAAATCAGAAGGGAAGACTATTATACTCATTTTAGATAGCCACAAGGATTTCAGCACAATGTCCTGGACTATGTCTGTAAGTAAATTCACTATTTATGCAGCTTGATTTTACTCATCAACAATACTGGAATTTTCTCATTAATCTCCTTCCCTCCCCTCCCCCCTTCCTTCCCCTCCCTCTTTTCCACAACCTCTCTCCTCTCCCCTTCCTTTCCCTACTCCCTCCCAACTATCCTCTCCTTTTCCCCTTCCTTCTCTTCCCACTTTTCCCCTTTCTTCCCTTTTTCCTTCTCCTCTCTCCCCTCTCCCCTTCCCCTACCCCACTCTATTTACAAAGAGTATGTCTCAATTAAAACAAACATGTTACAGATGGTTGACCATAAGGGAAAATAGTCTGAAAAGCACCTTAATCTTGATGCAAGTAAATTCATGTCTTCACTTTCTGGTCATCTGATTTTAGAGGAACTTTGTGTTGAAAATCATCATAATTATTTTCAACTAAATTAAATTTAACAAGCATACATTAAGTGTCCAACACACTGGGGATACAAAGAAAACAAAAACAAAAGAGACTTTGCCCTCAAGTGGCTTACATTCCATTGAAAGGATACTTTTGAGTAAATATCTAGTTTTATACACATATGATAATTTGAGGAAGGAGAAATCACTGAGAAATAGAGGAATCTAGAAAATTTTCCTGTAGGAAGCTGCTGAGCTAATCTCTGAAGGAAAATAAGTGTTCTAAGAGATAGAGATGAGAAGGGAGTACATTCCAAGTCTTGGGGACAGCTTGTGCCAATGGTCAGAGGTGAGAGAGATGGGATGTCAGGTCCTGGGAACATCCAGTAATTCAATTTAGCTGGAATATAGAATATGTTAAGGGAAATAAAAAGAAATATGTCTAGAACAGTATAGTAGCCTCCAAAACTTGATTCCACTTCATTTAGTTGGGGATGGGCAGGCAGGGAAGGCATCTTCACAAGTGGTTCATGGAAGGCTAGGGGATTTTTCAGGATTAGAGTGTGTGTGTGTGTGTGTGTGTGTTGTGTGTGTGTGTTTTAAGTCCAGAAATGTGTGTTGACAGGTTTAGAATGCCTAAGTATTTAAATTATTTAAAACCTTCATGATTTTAAATTTCCCATATTATTGCAGGGAGAAAACAAACCCTTGGGATGCTTGTTTAAGGAGCTGTTAGTCAGCAGGGCACTTTAAGTGAGAAATGTGTCAGCAGTATTTGTTTGCAAGGCTGGATACTATGGATTAAATGCTTTCAGGAATCCTCCTTGTGTAACACTTCTCTCTTGAGTGGGACTGAAGTTTGATAAGTGAAACCTTAAGGGGATTAACAGCTTTCCACCTTCTTTTTGTTACAGCCCAGAAGATGGTGAGATACATCCAGAAATCTGCAGGCTTTACATCCAGTTGCAATGTTGCTTAGAAATGTACACCACCGAGATGCTAAAATCCATATGTCTGCTAGGATCTCTTCAGTTTCATCGGAAAGGTATCTCATTTCACAAATTGCCAGAAATGCAGATGAATTTGTTATTAAAATACAAACCATTCATATGCAGCATTATTTGAGCTCTCAGACCCTGTATAAGGTGATAGTGCAAAAGTCCAAAAAGTGGGAATAATTATTGGGCTTTATTCTCCTGCCACCATGTATACAGACACAGAGACACAGCCCCATTGGCTCCATGATACATTTCAGAGACCTTTTAGAGGTAGGTATGCCATTTTCCAGAATGATCTATATCATTTTGGGGTAAATGATATACCTATGACACAAAAAGAAATAAAATGAGGAGTGGTGGTTAAGAGAAAATGTGGAAGATTCAGCCATTCATTCATTCATATACTTGACAAGTATTTGAGGACATTTAAATGTAAAATAAAGCAAGGCACTGATAAAAATTACAAGAAATGTACCCCTTGATCATACCCTCCACCCAAAAAGCTACCCTCAGGTTCAACTCATATTTTGGGTCAGCATCTACTCACTCACCCACAGGTACATATTCCCATGGAGTCATATACCACTAGTGGGAATGGCAATATGAAATATGTAACTAGGGACATTCTTATTTTTTGTTTTGGGGGGTTTTTTTGGGGTTTTTTTTGGTGAGGTAATTGAGGTTGATTTGCCCAAAGTCACACAGCTACTGAGTGTTGTCTGAGGCCGGATTTGAACTCAGGTTCTGCTGAATCCAGGGCCGGTGCTCTATCCATTTCACTACCTACTTGCCCCAACTAGGGACATTCTTGAAAGAGGGCATGTGGACAAAGTGCAGTTCAGTGGCAAGAACACTGGAATTAGACCCAAGAGAATTTGACTTTGCTACTTACTATCTGTGTGACCTTGGTCAAGCTGCTTAACTTTTCTGGACCTCAGTTATCTAGTCTTTAAAAATAAGGATATTGGACTAAAAGACCTCTAAAGTCCTTACTAGCTTGAAGACTATGGTCCTAACCAAAGCAACTCATGTTTGTAGGGGAGCAGCCCCGCTGAAACCTGTCTCTTGTGACACCCACTTCAGGGCCACAGAGGTAATCAACTGTTCTAGTGAACTCAGTAAATGATGTGCTGCAACTTGGGTGTGTCCACCCATGGGCTATTCTCTATTGTGCCGCTTCATATAAATCAAATTTTCAAGGGGAAAATGGACTCTAACATGAAGTATGAGTAATTCTTCCTGGGACCTAATGGCCCTTTCCCATTTCCCCTGTTTCCAACTTCTTGCTGGTTGGAGAAAATGTACTTCCCAGATGCTATATTTTCAATTCTCTTGGTTGGGCTGCTGTCCTAAAATCCTGTGCAGTACCCACATAGCCCTTGCTCCATAGCTACACCTATCCAGTTTTCAAAAACCAGACCAGGTCATTAGGTTATTTTTTAAACTGCTTTCTTTCTGCCTTAGCCTACTCCTTAGACTCAATCTGCTCTTTGAGGTTATGTTGAGAACATTCTCTTTGAGACTTCTTTCAACTATTGTCATGCCTCTGGTTGCTGCCCAGGGGTCATGGGTCAGCTCTGGAATTTCACTGAACAAGACTGCAGAGGCAGGTGGAGTTAGTGACTTCTTGGTCTTCATTCTTGCCAGCAACAAAATCACTACTCTCCCCACAGAATCATAAGAGATAGTCCCTACCAGGATCAGAATTCAAAGAAAGAGGGATCAGTGGAGGAGGGGAGAGGAGGGAAGGCATGGAAGGCATGGAGGAAGAAATGGGATGTGACCTGCATCCAGGAGGATAACTAGGATTTGAATAAGAGGAAGGGTATTCCAGGGATGAGGAGGAAAGAGGAAGGACTGAAGGGCTATTAGTATGAGCAAAGGCTTGGAGTAGAAGAGAGAATGAAGGTTTGAAGGTACTGTGAAAAGATCTTCCCATACATGGATTGAGGAATGGGTAGGTTGGGGTTAGATTGCAGAGAGTTTTGAGTGTCCGTTGAGGAACTGGACTTATAGGCTGTCAGTCTCTATGAGCTGAGGGCATATGAATATAGAAGAAAAAACTATACTATAAAACATGTCAAAAAATGTTAGTGAAAAAGAAACCCCTCAAAGCCATACACTACTGTATATATAGGGGACAGCTAGTGGCACAGTGGATAGAGTACCCAGCCTGGAATCAGGAAAACTCATCTTCCTGAGTTCAAATCTGGATTCAGACACTTCCTAGATGTGTGACGCTGGGCAAGTCACTTAACCCTGTTTGCCTCAGTTACCCTATCTGTAAAATGAGCTGGAGAAAGAAATGGCAAACTACTCCAGTATCTTTGCCAAGAAAACCCTAAATGGGATCATGAAGAGTCAAAAACAATTGAAAAATAACTGAACAACAACAACCACCATGTATATCTATGCAAATATGCTCTCTTAGACTGTCTATGTGACCTTAGAAAATCATTCAACTAAGGTCCCTCCTTGGGCCTCAGTTTCCTCATTTGTAAAATGAGGGGGTTAAACTGGATGGCCTCTGGGGTCCCCCAAGATCTAGATCTATGATCCCATAATTCTAGGATTTCTGCCATCCTCCACTTCTTCATTGTCAAGAGCAACAACAGATATGTCTGTCCAGGCATATCTGTATCCATGGCTTCTGAACAACCCCAAATCCAGAACTCGGAGGTGTGAGGCAAATATCAACAAGCTCCACAGATGATGATACCAGTCATAAGTCAAAGAATCAGGTAATCAGCAGGCCATTTTTTTCAGCACAGACTTTGTGCAGATCTTTGTCATAAGTTCCAGATACAAAGAAATATAAAGTTCTTGCCCTCAAGGAATTTAAATTCTACTATAGGGATGCAACCCATTCTTGGAGGCAGTGGCCAAGGAAAAGAAGCTTTGATCTAGGCAGTCGGAGGGGTTGTGAATGGAGCCATCCGGCAGTAAATTGTCACGTCCTTCCTATTAGCAATGGTAATGAGTAAACACATGCATTAATGAATAAATTAAAAAGGATTTATTAAGCACTTACTATGTGCCAAGTCCTGTGCTAAACAATAAGGAAATAGAGGTAGGATGAGAGAGAGAGACAAAGAGAGAGAGACAGAGAGACAGAGAGAGAGAGAGAGAGAGAAATGAATGGATGGAGGGATAGATATAAAAGCAAGACAATCTCTGCTCTTGTTCTAATTGGGGCAGACAACATTTATGGAAGGATTTAGCGCTAGGACAAATGGAAAGATCCAGGGGTCTGTGGGTTCCTGCACCAGGGTAGATGGCAAGGCCCTAAAGTAGATGACAATGTGATGGTGAGGGTGGGGTGGGGTGGGGGTGGTAAGGGAGGTCTGAAGGTGCAGTAGCTGAGCAGATGGTCCTTAGGGAGCAATGGCAGGACAGATGGTAAGGCCAGGGGGTCCTCAATCTTAATGGAATGATTATAGTTGGTGCCTCTCTGCTTTATGAATTGTTGTGAACAGTCATGTCCACCCTGTAGCTAGGGAGCTTGAAAAGCCTAGGCTCAAGACTGTTGTGGAGGAAGGAGGCCTCAGGATAGGAGAAAAGTAAATGTTCTAGGGTGTTCTTCCTGTGGGAGTGGGATGAGTGTTCAGTAACCATTTGGGATGGGGAGGTAAGGGTAAGTGATGTTGACAGGAGGGCTGAGGAGAAGGGAAGTTTCCAGTGGGATCTGAGCAAGGGCAGGCTGGGGAAGGAGGAGGGGTTCTCTAATTCCTATTCCACTCCTTTCTCTAATTCCCATAAATATCAATTCAATTAGTATTCCTTGGTCAAGAGGCAAAAGGTATGTGTTTCGGGGTAGTGATGGAGAGAAGGGATACATACATGGAAGCTGAGTAGAGAACAAAATGTCCACGCTGGTTAGTCCCAAGTGTCCTGGTGGATGGCCGGATGGAATGAAGCATGATCTAGGCACCTGGGGTCGGGCCAGAAATAGAGAGAGGGAGTAAGTGTTGAACCTCCAATTCAGGAATCTTCACTCTGGAATAAGTCACAAAGCTGAGGAAATTTACTGCTTCCTTCTTCCATTCCCCACCCCCCAAGCCTGCAAACCCCAGAGAACCTTCTTCACATGTAAGGAGAATGTGTAGGGAATAAAGCATGTTTACATACATATACATGAGGCTTTTTAACCACACCTACATATTGACAGCAACTATAATCAGAATCTTTATGTTCAAGTACAAAGGCCATATAGACACACCGGGCTCAACAATGGTAACTTGTGTTCATACTTGTTTTTGCTTCAGTGTGGCTCTCCACTCACGTCAGTGTGAAGCTTGTATGTTCAGCTAATCTCACTGGTGAGAGACAGACAAGACTTTCTATCTGGGTCATCATGTCAGTGTTGACCCTTTAGTGGAAGTTTCTTCCTAGGCCAACTGAATGTCTCTGTCATTGATAGTAAGGTTGTGGCATAGAGGCAAATGAGGTGAATGAAGCAACTCCTTCCTGGGCACATTTTTTTGGAATGAAAGGTTGAAAGAATGATTATAGATTGCAGTTGAGGGAAAGAAATGAGAAGAATCTTCTGGTGTGTGAGCAAAAATGATTTATTTAGCAAATTAAGTCCTTATTTAATAACTTCTAAATTAATTGTGGTAAGCTGCATTTCCCTGACTCAGGGACTCAGTACAAACTCTGGGGAGTGTCATTCATTACTAGTGCTCCACACCTTAAAAAAAAAAAAAGCTATTGTTTTCCAATTACTTCCTGATATAAGAAAGAATTCAAAAGGCAGTCATGTAGGGTTTAATTTTTTCCCCTTCCACAACCCAACCTATTTGTAACATCCCTTCGGAGCTTCACCTATAATAAACCAAACCATCATTTTGAGCTCTCCATAAAATAAGAGGAACATACACTTGGAGGGAAAAGGCACATCTGAGATCATCCAGTCCACAACCACCATGCATTTTACCCTGTACCAGGTCAGAAGGCTTTCAGACTCACTTCCTCAGGCCTCTGAGATATTTTTCCCTTACCGAAGATGTCAGTAGAGGGTTGGCAATGGGGACAGAGGACAGTTGGA